TATTAGGAAATTTTATATGGAATGTGACATAAATTTTTTTCGAAATTTTACATCTGAAAATTATATCCCATGTAAATTTTTAAATGTAAAATTACATAGGGTATGATTTTTTTTACATAAATTTTTTATTGTAAAATTTCTCTCAATTTCTTTACAAGTTCGATTGTGCCTCTAACTTTAACCGTCTGCGTCCGCCCCTGGTGCAAATTGATATATAGTTCACGCGGTTGCCACAGCAAAATCAATTGGAAATTTGGTCCTTTGAAGCAAGCAATACAACATGTAAATTTTTCTTTATAATTGGTAGAGGATGTAACAACTATACACCAACTAATATGGTAGCCTTTCTTCAAAGACTTTTTGAAATAGTCAAAGCCACCATTTATCTGCCACATGTCACAAAATCTTCAATCAAATTTGACTGTCAGCTAATCTCTTCAGCTTCATGTGAACCGAGCAATTCTCTCAAGATAACACAAAATCATGTTTATTAATATGTGATTATTATGTTAGCATGCATGGACGCGCCATTAATTAAAAAAAAAAAAAACACGTATATTTTTGAAATTTCTATTATGTTATATTTTTTCTTTAATTTTATTCAATATAGCATAATAAACATACAACTATAAGTATCAAAAGTGTAACCCATTAAAATCGAACTTAATTCATTCCTTAACAAGAAATATGAACTTAAAATTAGGCCTCCGTTTAACCTCCATTAAAATTATAATTTATTTTTCTCTCTTTTCTTATCAATCACACATTATTCAATAAAATAATATTACACGTAAATCGAAAAAAAATCTTCTTTTTTAATCACGCATTTTTCAAAATAATATTATTCCAAAAATTATAATCCTAAATTATGGGGGGCCAAACGAGGGCTAGATTAAGCAGTAAAATTTTAGCTCCGGTTTAGTGGTCTTTTTTTTAAAAAAATATTGTTTTGAATAATGATCTTTTAGAGAATTTGTAATTGAAAAGTAGGAAAAAAAAATTTGTTTATGTGAAGAATGTTTTACTGTGTGAATGTGTAGTTAAAAAGTATATATAAAAAAAAGGATTTTTAAAAGAATCAGAGAGAAGCATTTTTAATCTTCTTGCATACTTCCAAATGACTTTTTAAAACGTAGTGCGTTTTCTAATTTATAATTGTTTAGCATTTCACCCCCAAGACACAGCACAGAAGAGAGAGATGAACCTTGCCTAAGGGCGGTACCAAATCCTTTTGACTTCAACTCATTCATACACTTCCTTCACGTCTATATATACTGAGGTCATCTTCTCATTAGGACCTACAACTTTCACTTTTGTCTTTAAAGTTTTCTTCATCTCCTGAAAAGTCTCATTTGATTTCTTCCTTAGTAATATTCTGAATATTCAAAGTCATCAATACCCCGAAATTAACAATGGGAAGATCACCTTGTTGTGAGAAAAATGATGTCAAGAAAGGTCCATGGACCTCTGAGGAAGACATGAAACTCATTCAATACATTCAAGAGCACGGTGCATGCAATTGGCGATCTCTTCCAAAAAATGCCGGTATACATGATCAAAAAGAACAATAATAATATTTTTGTGTCATTAATTATCTTGTAGAGATTTGTAATGAAGATTGAACATTTGTGTACAGGGCTTCAAAGATGTGGAAAAAGCTGTCGTCTTCGTTGGACAAATTATTTAAGACCTGATATAAAGAGAGGAAGATTTTCATTTGAGGAAGAAGAAACTATTATCCAGCTGCATAGTGTTCTTGGCAACAAGTAATATATAATCTCTCAATCTTTTGTCTCATTAATTACCTTTCGCAACTAGAGAAATATGTTACATGTATACAAGTTCTTCTCATCTTGCAGTACTAAACCTAAATTTGTTTCTTCTGATGATTAAGGTGGTCTGCAATTGCGGCTCGGTTGCCTGGAAGAACAGATAATGAAATCAAAAACTACTGGAATACTCATATAAGAAAGAGACTTCTTCGAAATGGGATTGATCCGGTGACTCATGCTCGACGCCTCGATGTTTTAGATCTGTCATCACTAATAAACTTGCCACAGATTAATCTTTCAAATCTACTCCAACTTCAAACCCTACTAAATCCAGAAGCCATAAGATTGGCAGCTAGTCTTCAGGAAAATCCTGAATTGTTATTTACAAAACTTCAGGAAAACCAATTATTTAACGCTCAGTTGCAAAACCAGACCCCAGTTTTCCAAACTGATCAATTTCAAAACACTTATGATCCACAAATCCCCCTTTACAATCCATCCACTGATCTTCCTGCTACTACTTCAGTTTCTAATCAATCTCATTTCATGCAAGGGAATATGGGACAAGTCTCTATGAATTCAGAAAGTTTGAGTGGCCAAACATTTCAAAATAATCTAACAACTAAATTTGAAAGTGTCCCTTTTATTGAAAATTTCTGCCATGGGGCTTCTGAACAAATGCAGAAAGATGTATTAGAAAACATAAGTTTTCAGTCCACGACCAGCGGGAGCAATAACAGCCATAAGTTCAGTTTTGATTCAGTTTTATCGACGCCTCTATCAAGCCCAAATCCTCTAAACTCGAGCTCAACATATATCAAAGGAAACACAGAAGATGAAAGAGAAAGTTATTGCAGTAGCCTGTTAAAGTTTGAAATACCAGAGAGTTTAGATTTTGATGAGTTCATGTAAACACTCTCACATTTCATTCCGCTTGTACTTTTAAGGTAATTGTGATGGCGCAATCTTTTACTTTCTGTCAAGTCCTTTAGTTTGCCTTGTTAGGATTTTTTCCAAGTTTGTTATATATACTAGTAGTTTATTTTTTGTATATTACAGTTTGTTATATTATAATCTTTCTTCCCATGTAGCTGTAATTTTTTCTATTTTAAGATTCACTTTCTTCATTTTCCATCACTGTTTTTTCGTAATTCACTCTACTCATATGGTACGGAATCCCTCATATAAACTATTCAATTTGGTGGTATATCATCTTTGTTAGCTAGCTACTGAACTTCCTTATAAAATTTAGGTAGACTATAAAAGTTTTAACAAAATTAAATAAAATAGAGGTATTTGAAAAAAGATAGTTGCAGCAAGAAGCACT